AGTCTTCCCTGGTAGCAGCTGAGGAGATAGATTGGAAGTTCAATGTTTTCAAGACAGAGCTACCTGTGCTGAGGAGGCAGCTTGGCCTCTCTGCAGGGAGCAGTGCAGCTACACAGAAGCTTCCCTCGGCCACCTGCTCCACCAGCACTGCTACCAGAGACTGTCTGTGACACCCCAGATGTGAAGGAGCAGTGGTCTCCCTGCACACATGAACAGTGCTTTGGCCTTAGCAGTCAGCAAGAATTGAAGATTTGGAAGTAAATTTCCCACACATTTGGCAGTGTCTGGGGCCAGTACTCACACAGCAGTGGTGGAGGCATTGGCGAGTGGGAAGCTCTGTCCTGACTAGGATCTGTTCTGCTCTAGCTGGTGGTGGTGTGCCATCACCTTCACCAGCAGAGCTCCTTGGGGACACTCAGTGCTACCCCAGGCACCCCAGGTGCTGCAGGACAGACCCATGCCCATGGAGGAACAGCCATTTACTTCCAACAGACTTTTGGGGCTGTATCTCTGCTGAGATGGCAGAAACCCCACTGCGAGGATGCAGCCCAGAGGTCCAGCAACACAGCTCTGCTCCCAAACCCCTCCTTCCCAGCACCCTCTCCAGAGGTCCCAGCACAGCTGTGGGTGCCCAGTCTCAGGGCCACCCACCCACCCACGAATGCCAGCATCATAACTTGGAGCCAAAAAGATGAAGTTGGTCACTGGGGACACCACAATACTTTCTGTTTTCCTCTTGTTTCCCCGCCCACTGCATTGCTCCTAAGCTGGATGCATAAAAGTCAGGTAGTTGGAATTACTTCCTGCTGCCCTTGTACATGCTTTGCATTCTCCTGTGTAATCTCTCAGGCTGTCAATCTCGTACCGTCACAGGCTCTCTATTTCCAGGGAAGCTAAATACATATATATTGCACAAAGAGATCCGTAGGCTTGCGCTAAAAATGGAATCACCTCTCTCTTAGTGCTGCAGACGGCCTGGCAATATACTGGGTGAATTATGATACTGTAATTCAAACTTTGTCACACAGAGGGGCTTAATTAGAGTATATATATAATTGTAAAAACTAAAAAGCTGATGAGTACAATTGTGTGTTTGAGCTGCCTGCTACAGAAAATAATGAGGAGAGAATACATTAAGGCACAAAAACCTTCTGCCTTCAAAGAGCAGCTAGCTCTGATTAAAAATACTCCCGGCAAGGCAAGGGGACTCAGCAAGCCGCGGGCGCGCGGGGGGGGGCAGTCTGCAGTGCTGGCTCGGCCATAACTCTCACCCCTGTTCTACAGCTTCTACTGAACACAGCTGCAGGCTTGGGATCCCCCCACCTCCCCAGTCTGGCTTTGGGGGATTCATATTGGGTGCCATGTGATGTCCCAGCTTGGTCTCTGTGGATTGTCAATTAAATAAAAATATGGGAAACATATCTCATTTGCCTATTCTTGCCTCACCATAGAGCTGCAGTCCCATGGGTGCTCCACTGCCCTTGGCTGGTGGCACACAGGGCTGGAATTGCCCCCAGTTGCCCCAGGGAATGTGCATTTTCTCCCAGCAGCCAAAGAGCAGAGTTCTTCCAAAGACCCAGTGCAAGGGTAGGGAAAAATATAGCCCAAACTAGCCTAGTCACCAGCCCCACCAAGGATCCCATACTGCTCCCCAGCACTGAGCAACCAGCAAAGGGAGGTTTTGCATATCACTGCTATAGTGGCCCTATAAACAGGTTGGAGGTGGGGATGTCCTATGGGGAGGTGACATGTTAGGGCACAACCCTGACTGCTTCATGGGCATTGTAGACAAGCTTTGCTGCAGCTCAGCAGCTTGTGAGTGCTATTATGGGCCCCAACCTCTCCCAGATAGTATAAACCCTTACTGTAAAGATAGTCTGTGCTGTGCATGAGTTACCCATCAGAGGATGGGCTTTGGAAGTCCACTCTTCCAGTCATTGTGGAGCAGTGTCAGGGCCCTAGGAGCAAAGGGATTGCACAAGACAGTGCAGGGAGCAGCAGTGCTGCCTCCAAACAACTGCATGTGCACGCTAAACACGTGTACCAAGACCTAGTGGGGTTTTCAGTGTCTAGCCATGAAGTACCAGATTTGTTACAACTTAATAACAGAGTAAAAGAATGAGGAGAGCATTCCAGTCTTATCTGTTGGAGTGAGCAGGGGAGTTTGTGTGCCTGTGACAGCAGTGCTTGGTTATTGATCTATAAAAGGTCTAATACAGCTCTGTAACACCCTTTGCATGAAAAAGAGATATTGTCAGCTTCAATTAACTGGCAGTCTATTATTAATCCTTGCCAATGCCTAGGGGAATCTTGGAAAAGGATGTCAGTTTGCCATGGACAGTGTTGAGAAAGCCTTGGGTAACGGGCTGTGCCAAGCACTGCCGCTCCTTGGGAAGGTTTTACTGGGCAATTCAGTGCATCCATAGTTTTCCCAACACTCGCTTGGGCAACATTCCCACCTCTCCCGCCAGTGTGGGGAAAGCCCCCAGGATGCAGCTCCAGCTGAGGACTCTTTAGCAGTTGTTGTTTACCTCAGCCCCATGAGGATGGGGGTTCCTGAGCACCTTTTGCCCACCTTGGCCCCCTCATGTGCCAGCTGGCTCTTTGGAGAGTGCTTTTGGAAGGGGCACCCTCCTCGCATCCTGTGGGGAGAGTTGCCAAGGGAGCCGTCACCAAACCCAGGGAGGTTGTAAGTGCTTCTCAGCTGCCAGGTCCAGGGAGCCCCAAAGCCAGGTGGGGGGAGCTCATTTTTTGGGACACTGTGTTCCCTGCTGGGTCCATGTCCCCACTGGGGGGACATCTCTGTCCAGCCCCACAACCCTCAACAGCCCTTCATTAGAACATGTGAGCTGTACATACCCTGCAACTATTCACTCCTCCACTCAGTATTTGGGCTCCTGCACTGAAGGCAAAGCATGGAAAGGATACAATAACACAGGGCTCAGCGTGCAGCAAGTCAGTGCCTTAATATTGACTTAATCATGGAGAGCAGAGGCAGTGAGGGAAAGGGAAGGGAGGGCTCCTGGCATAACAATGTGAGTTGTTGCTGCCACCACATCTCTCCTGCCAGCTCACATGATGACGGAACATTTTCCTCATTCAGGTTGGTAATGCTCATTCCACCAGAGATGTGATGTGGGTTTCACCTTCTGCCTGTTTTTAAGCATGCTTTTAAGTAGAAAGACAAAAATTATGGAGTCCTGTTAGTTCCTGGAAATCCAGTAAAGACTGGGGAAAAAGCAATTCTGGGAAAGGAAGACTGCACGAAATTGTCAGACTGACAAGGTTGGGGCAGTTGGCCAGCACAGTGATGAGTGTGTTGAGTCTCAGCAGGGATGTTGGTGGTTTGGCAGCTCCCTGTGCAAGCCCTGGAGCTGGGCAGGTGTTTTTCAGCACTGTGGATGGTCTTGCACATTTCTTCCTCCTCTCTTCTTCCCCCGTAACTTCACTCCTTCACACTGACAGACCACTTGTTAACCTTGTGGCTTCACCCAGGCTGTCAGAGCAGGAGAGCATCGCCTGTCTCGCAGTGCCAGTATTTCACCAGCAATAAAGCCCAGGAGGGAAAAGTTTTGGGAAGGGAGGAGAGAAGCATAGAAGGAGGCTGAGGGTAGCAGACACAGTCCTGCTGTGCTGAGCAAGAGGCTCTTCCACATGCCTCTCCCTGTGGATTACACACGGATTTTCCCTGCATCGCCTGCTGCTGGCCATTCCTCCAGGCTCGAAGGGAAGAGTTGGCATCATTCAGCTCGATGAGAAAAACAGTGTGGCCTGGGACACTCATTCTTTATACACCCCCTCCAGCAGTGCCTAATGTCTCGAGCCTTTGCCAGGGGGGAGAAGCCCACAGCGACTTCCCAGCCCCTGCCTCTGCACACACATCACATACATCACTCTCAGGGCTGCTGAGTGTACATTTAACGGATGACAAATGACGATGAGAGGTGATATATGAGTAAGTGGAACCTGAACTGCAGCTGTTGCAGTACTTAGCGACCACTCTCAGTAGAAGTTTTTCACTGAAACACTGATACTTGCTTTCTGATGGACTGGTGCCTTCCCATTGTTATTGTCCTTGTCAGTAAAGCTTTAAATTTATTCATGAAGCACACTGGAGCTCAGGTGGCAATAGCTAAATCCATTTAGCGGTAGGAATAAGAGGAAATCCATTTTAATGTTCTCTTGCAGTGCTGCAGTACTTAGCAAACCCAAAGGATATTAATTACTCAGCATGCTCCGAGATGTAAAAGCATGAATTTATCAAGACAAATACGTCCAGAACTAGGGTAAGTCAACAGTAATTAATGCCATGCAAAAAAGAGACAGAGAAAAAGAATTAGCTGGCCCTGTTGCAGAAGAAGATGATGTAGCCCTGAGTTATCCCTGGAATATGGGACTGGAGTTATGGTGAGGCATCTCTAACAAAAAAAAAACCTGCCTGTGACTGTTATGTATATCCCTGGGATGGGGGTTTGGTCCTGGTTCACATTTCCAAGGCAGAAAGATGCAGGTGGCCTCTGAAATGCTCAGTTGTGCTTGGCAGCCAGCAGCAGCTTTTTCATGCAAAGCCTTTGATGTTGAAAGGCACTTGAGAAGAAGAGGGGCATAGGGCTTTTTTGTTTGGCACCAAATTTGTCTGCACTGTCCCAATGTTTTCATGGTGTTTAGCAATCATATAATTGTAAGCACAGCCAGAGATGAGGAGCAGCTTGAGAGATGAATTGGTAGGCCCTTCTTGCCAAATTTAAGCATAACATGTGTCTTTATACCACATCCATTAGGGCAGACAAATGGAAAATCCAGAGATGGCTGCTCTGCATTTAACAGTCACAGCATTTGGAGAGGGCTGATGTCTTCCTCATCACCAGTGTTGGGTGAGGCTTGGAAAAAAACAGCAAAAAACTAAAGCAATTTGAGCAAACAAGTCTAGCCATGCCTTATTTAAAGGTGGTTTACTCTACGTGGAGTGAGTAAAACCAGTGCTGATTCTTTGTCTCCAGGTTATGGGGATGACACAGATGACTTCAACCTAGAAGATGCCATCACCAGGCGACGTAAGTCACATTTATTCATTGTTTTAAAGAGGAGAAAACATGTTAATAGATGCAGTTTATACAACTGTTTCATCCTCTCTGCTTGGGAGACACAGGGTCTGGCTTTGCACACAGGTGGAGCTGGGGATGGTCCTGGAGAAGCTGGCTGCTGACCAGGTGCTCTTTGCTTTCTGACTCCTGTGAGGAACCACAGAGGCACAGCACACCTGTGCTCTGAGGTAGCAATGGCACTGAACTTGCCCTTTTAGCTTCCTTGCATCACTCAGTAATGCCTACCACCAGGCCTGGCCCTGTTGGCCTGGAACCAGTGCATCAGCCACTCCTTCTCCAGCTGGAGAGGGCAGCTCGCTGTGTCTGACCAGGCAGGGGCGGGTGGCACTGGGTCCTTCCCTGCTCCCATTGCAGTGTGGTGCCCGGGAAAGCAAACGGTGCGTGACGTCACTGCTCTGCTTCACTGGAGTTCCAGTGTAGCCCATCGGTCAAAAGAAGCTCACTTCCTCAGGGGGTGCCTCACTGCTGGCATGCAGCATTCAGTATTTTGGTGTTCTACACCCCAGGGACAAAACCTAACTGCCAGCACAGCAGCTGAGGGATGGGAGGAGGCTCATCTCCCTCCTTGGGAAATGTCACACGCCTTTCCCCAGTGCCAAGGGCTGAGCCCAAGACCACTGTGCACTCACACACATCTCTGGCTCCCCTTGCTGCCCAGCACTCCCCAGGCAGTTCATGGTGGCTGTCCCCAGACCCAGCACCTGGCGGAGCAGTGGTGAGGATTGCTCCATGAGTGATGCCAAGCTCTGGGATCAGGCAGAATATACCCACGTGTATCAAAGGGAAAGTTGTAATAGTGTTTGAAACCTCTTGTGCTGTAGTCTAACAACAGATGGACACTTGAGCTGTATTACTCTAGAATCTATGTGGAATAGAGGATGCTCTCTGCAGATCTCCTGCAGTGTGCCAGGATAGGCCATGGGGTATCAGACTTGGTCACAGGACTGATGTGGCTCATCTAGGATTTTGCAAAAGCCCTTTAATGCAGCATGTGAGGAGACCTGGTTAGAAATGACTAATGGCCACCTCATGTGGAAGGAAAGTGGCATTCTGCAAGCTAGAGTCCCTGCAGTGAGGGAAGGGAAGAGGCAGCACTGTCCCCATGGCCTCCTCAAGTGCTGCATCCCACTCTGGATTCATTTTGTCAGCCCCAGAGTAACGCAACCAAGGGTCTGGAGTTGGGTCACATCAAACCATACCAGCATGCTGGAAATGAAGCCCAGCAACACCACTCCGGAAATTAATGGGAATGGAGCAACCACAGCTCTTGCTCATAATTTATTCATATACTTGGTAAAGCCAGCCACTATTAATAGGCAGTGGTTTCCATATTGCTCCCTTTCTCCCCTCTCAATGGGCTGGCTGTAGCTAGTTTTAGTCCAGGAGCAGCCAGGGGTGTTGGGATCTGAGTATCAGTGTGTCACTGAAAGTCCTCCAGCTGACAGGGAACCTCCTGTGCATAACACAGCAAGGGAAATCATCTGTCATTGGACTGACTGACAAGGCCAGGGACACCAAAACATTGGCAACTCACTGCTGGTTTCCGTGCTGTTCTGTACAGCATCTGCCCTTGCCTGTCTGCTGCTGCATCCTTAGAGCCTTAGAGCAGATTGTTGCAGCTCCCTGCTCTTCACCAGCTGGGATGGGATGCTGGCTCAGCTCAAGGCAGCAGTGTCCTGTGGAGCACTGGCTCCATTTTCACCCATGGGCAGTACTGATCCCTGTGGCCACACATTGTGTGCAGGGTGTTCATGACCCTGTGCCCTGCGTTTACAAATGCAGATGTCAGAAAGTTGTGGTTGAAATCTTTGCCATTCATTCTCAATCCAGAGGTGAGATTTTTGGTGATGCCTATGACTAACACTTTTCCTCCCCATCTGTTTTGTCATAGCCACTCCCAAGGGCCCCAGAAAGCCAGCAGGTGGGACAGGTAAGACCTTGCATGCACATCATCTCAGCTCAGTGTGGGGCGTGCTTCCTGTGGGATTGAGCTGTGTGAGTCCCCTTGGGCTGCTCGTGTGTGGCTGAGTGCTGCTGCCTCAGCAGCTGCTTTGGGACCCCTTTATTTACCCATAGGGAAGATGGAGCAAAGATGGTATGTGCACCTGCACTGTTACTGTGCAGCCAAAGAAATGCAATATTGATATTTCTGTCCATGCTGAAGGTGAGTGGCAGTGGAGCATTTACAACCAAGGCAGAATTTTGCACACTTTTTAGTATCCTAATGGAGAAGACACAAATCACTGCTCAACCACACAAGAGTTTTTATTCCTGTCTGCATGGCTCCTGCTAGCTTTCCTTCCAGGAGGAAGTCCAGAGGATATTTTCCTTCCTTTATTTATTCCAAGATACCCAGCCTCCATGGAAAGTTCCATCTTGGTGAGACTCCCATACAGGGGAGAACGGGTCTCTGACTGTTGGTCTACATCAAATGTGCTGGATGGCCAGCTCCCAGCAGTGCCACGGTTGAGGAAGCTCCCTTAAATTCACATGAGTTTTATTGCCAGCATCTCCTCTGGCTCAGTTCTGGCCAGTCACTGTTAAATATAGCATGGTCACAGGAGCCGAAGGGTTGCTCAGTCCCACTGGAGGTGCCTGCAATAAACTGCATCAGAGGAGCGCTCAGAAGTAAATCCGCTCACCCCTGCATCAGGATCTTGTTACAAATTTAGGCAAATTCAATTGTCTATCTCCTTTGCCACCGTGGTCTTTGCTAGAGACAAGATGCAGGGCTTCAGTGTTTGGATCACAGCCTGAACAAGAGGTTATTCGATCCAGTAAACTCCCCCTGGGAAATGGACACGTGTGGAGGCTGAGGCTTTGTCTCAACCAGTTGCTTCTTCCCCAGGGAGTGTTTTTTGGATTAATCATGGCACTGAGTGGCTCCTGCAGTAGATTCCTGTGCCTTGGCCCCTCTCTGTGCAAACCCCACTCAGCTCAAGGTCACTCAAGGGCGGTTGCACAGGGAGCAGCGTCCCAGCCACTCACTGGCTCAGTCCCACAGCCCCTTCTCATCTGCACCAGGTTTCAGAAGATGCTACAGGTACCAGCAGGACTCCCCCAAAAGTGAATTATTTTGGGATTGCTGGGGCTGAGCAGCAGCCACAGCTTGGATGGGGGGTACTGAAATGGTGGCCAGGCTTTTCGGAAGCTTTTGTTGTAGGTCACGATTAAGCAGCATAGTGGCTGGACACCCTTTCCAGCTCCAGCCTGACGTGGGAGGCCCTGGCAAAGGTGCAGTACTATTGCACAACACCCACAGAGCAGGGTGTTTGCCAACGGCCTTGTGCCATCCCCACAAACAGGAGTATAACAATCCTCTCTCTCCTGCAGACTTCGATTTGGCTGATTTCTTTGACACTCCTGTGAAGACTACCACCAAACCAGCCAATCCAACTCCCAAGCCCTTCCCCAGGCCAGGGAAGCCAGGTAATGCAGGGCTCCCCAGAGGCTTGAGCATCCCCAGGGCACCCAGAGAGAGGGGTGCCCCCAGTATCAGCTGAAATTGTGTATAGACCAGAGCAGTGAGCTGGCCCAGTGCAGCCCCAGTCTCACAGCAGGGTGGGGGTTTCCCCACACAACATTCATCTGAACTTGTTTCAGAAGGTAACATCATTTTGGTCTTTTTTTTTTCCCTCCCTTCAGACAACGGCTTTTGGGATGTCATTCGCACCACTACGACTAAGCAGCCAAAAACTACAAGAGCCTCCCCTAAGCATAACCCAGGTAAGTGTAATCTCCACAGCCCCTGCTGCTTCACTCCGCCTCTGCTGCTGGCACGGGGAGGATTTGGGAAGTGTCATGATGGTGGTACTGCCCTTGTCCTGGTTTTTCCAACCTCTGGTCTGTTTGCTCACCTGAAACACCTTGAGAAAAAAACAAGTATTAAAAACCACAGAGAGGACTGGACATCTGAGCATTACCCTGCATTTTCTGGGGGACCTTGGTGGTTTCTGGACCATGTTTCATTCCCATGCTTGCTGGAAGGATGTGAGCTGGTTGTGCTCTCTGTCGTGGCACAGCCACGTTGGGCTCCACTGGCAGACACCCACAGGCTCAGGGCACCCAGCCGGGAATTCTGCTGCCTGCCCAGGCAGGGTTTTGGTTTGGATCATAATAAACTCAGGAGTGCACTGGTGGGAGGGCTGAGGAACTCAGTTGGCTCCATGCCGGGGTTTTAGCTGCTGTTTATCAGAGACAATATCCTCTGTCAGAGCCAGGCAGCTTGGGGGACCAACTGAGCATTCAGAGAGGAAAATAACTCCAAGGAATTAAGTCACAGGCTGTTCCAGCCAGCACATGAGCATGGTACAGCCACCTCCTTCCCTTCTACTAGCTGGGCCCTCACGGCACCAGTTTGGCTCTGACTTCTCCTACTGGCCTTATTTATCTGATTACCTGGCACTCCAGCCATGGGAACACTGTTTCTGGAGGAAGGACGTGGTATTTCCCACCACAGCAGTATGAGGGCATGGAACAGGATAGGTTTGGAAGATCTGCTATGAGGCCCCATAGCAGAATTGGGAAATCCTTATGTCTGGAGCTTCATCTCTTTCAACGGTGGTTTTCCCTGATTAATGAATTAATTGCATAGTTCCTCAGCCTATCACCGTACTGCTAACCCTAGTCTTGTTTTCTAGAAAAGGATCCTATGGATTTTAACTTGGCCGATGCCCTTGATGATAAGAATGATGGGAAAGATGCTGGGAGGCCAGATATAAGGCCAGGTGAAGGTAGGCTGACATCTCCTCTCTGTCCTGCTTGCTACCAGCCCTGCTGTTCCCTGAGGCCTGTAGGAGATCCTTCCCAATCTGACACCATTCCCACCAAGTGATGGGACAAAAAGAAACAGGTACTGTCCTGCCTGCTCGCAGTGGGGACATTTCCCCAGGCAGCTTGATCCTGGGGAGGGAAGAATCCTCTTCCTCAATGGTCCCTGGCAGAAAGGGGCTCTTCCTAAGGATTTCCTCCCTGTCTGTGCAGGTTTTTTCTCCCAGGGTCTCTTCTGATCCATTAAATTGTGGAGGTTGTATTGAGTTCCCCCCATTCCCCCTCTTTAACCGAGAACATGGGCTGCTGGGGTTCACAGTCGCTGCCAACATGTAAATCTTGAGCAGGCTCAGGTCCTGGTCTAACACACCCTATGGGCTGGGAGCGTTCTTTTTTCATCTCTGAAATGTTCCAGTGAATGAATCATTTGTCTGTGAGGATTGCTCCCCTGAGCACTTGAAACAGTCTGGGAAACAGACTTTGCACGGCTGGTTTATTGATGTTGGGATGGCTGTATACCCTGCTCACATGTGTAATTAACAGTCAGGTATTTTATTACATTGTAAGAACTAGATGACTTGTCTGCACTTTGGTATTCTGGGCTTGCTGAGTTTTCAGGCTCCTGCAGGAAAGGTTGAGGCGTTGAACTGCTGGAATGTGGCACTGGCCACAAACCAGCACACACATTCCCCTAGCATCACTGCTCCCTGGACTGCCTGGGACCTCTCCGGGCTCCAGCATAGTCAGGGCTTTCATTCTTTTCACACTCATTAGTAAGCCCATAAATCTGGGTTTTGTGGTAAGCTGATGAATAAGGCAGTCTCTTCCAGGCTGTTAAGGCAAAGGAAATCCTTCCCAATGCACAGCATCAGAGGAAGAGCCTTTTGCTGTCCCGGTGTTGGGTCTCTGCTCCTACCTTGGGAGCACCTTGCTGCACCCCAGGGCTCCCTCTGGAACTGGAGCTGAGATGTTCAACAGCGCCACTCATTCAGCTGCAGATTCACAGACCCTGTTTCTCTGTATTTATCCTGCATTAATTTGACTTGCCCACTACAAGGTAACTTTTTCATGTGTACCAAAACATGCTGGTGCTCAATTTTCCCCCTGGGCTGTTCTGTCCCTCTGGGAAGGTTAAGGGTCAACTCCTGCCTGCAAGACCCCAAGCCCAGCTACTGCAACCAGGGGCTCACTGATCCCCAGCAGCATGGCCACAGCACACACAAACCACTTCTTCCTGCCTCCTCCAATCTCAGCCGAGGCTGACCACCAAAACATTTAATTAACTCTTAAATTATCCATAATTTGTGATTATCAGTCATCATCACTCTTAAAAATCAGTCATTTAAGTTTAAAAAAATACAGTAGCATTTAAACTAGTCAGTTATTATTTCTTCTATTACCTTAAAATAATTCATGGTTAACATCTGGTAATTGTGAGAGAAGCAGTACTGCTTTTTTGACCAAGTGGGGATGGAGCAGCCCATGATCCCAACCTCTGGCACAGCTATGGCTCCCTCAGGTGCCAAACAGTTTGTTCCCATTTCTTTTAAAGGATTTTCAGATGATGACCTGGCCAGCATTGTGGATGGTGGCTACAGCCCAGACAAGAAGAAGGGTAAGTGATGACCTACGTACAGTTGTTTTCTTTAGCAGTCATAGCTCGGGGTAACCCCCAGCTCCTAGAAAGAGCCCTGTGCAGAGCAGTGCTCACCTCCATGGCAGGAGCTAAAGTGGTCTCAGCCATGGAGCCAAGGGAGAAGTTCTTGGCCTCTGTGGTCATGTCTGGTGCCAGCCATTGGAGATGCGTGGTTTTGATTCTGTGGAGGCTCTGCAGCTCCAACTGCACCAGGGCAGATGGGACCTGTGTCTCCTCTATCACCTCGAGGGCACCCTGGTGCCATGCATGGGTACATGCCTTCATTTGCCTTTCACCACACGACCACCAATGTCTGCAACAAAGGGGAAATCCAGCAACAATCGTATAAGTCGTTCACAAGGATCCACAGCATTAAATATTAAAAGCAGTCACATAAAGAGCTGAACACCACGAGCCTAAACAACATTTAATAAATCCCTGTGCCAAGGACAAGATGCATCAGAGGTATTAGTACAGTGCCGACCTGCTTCCATAAATTCAAGATGTAAGTGACTCAGCAAGGACTGCAGTTTCTTAGTGGGAGCAGCTTCTCCTCCCAGCCCAGTTTCTCCAGGGAAGGTGATGTCAAAATAGACTTCAGGGAGCCAATTGAAAGCTCCCTGACATGATGGAGCTCAGCCAGTGACCTCCCTATGATGTGTGCTGTGTAAGACTTTGACAGCCCTTCAGGTGTTCCCTTGACAGTGGAAATGTAAAAGGTGAGGGTGAGGGTAATTGTCAGACACAGGCAGAGGTGTCTCATGCAGAGGATCCCCCAAAACTCCCCCCATGCATACACAGAGGGAGAGGAGCAGCCTCAAAGCCCTCAGAAGCAAAAACAAGCAGCACAGTGGAGTGTGGGGCAGCAGAAGTGCTTCATCCCATGGAGGCATCTGCCCAACCCCAGGCCAGGGCTGCCCTGCTACCTCTCTCCTATGTGTAGGAGAGTACAGGGGTACTGACCGGATTGTGTCTCTGCAGGTGCCAGTGGCAACACCGACAACGACTACAGCAGAGGTAGGTGTCACAGTGGATGGTGAGACTGAAGGGGTGGTGTGTGTGCCCATCACAAAGCTCCCTCTGTGCCCCACAGTGGCAGAGACAGGGACAATCGCCGGCATCGTCAGCGGCCTGGCCATGGCACTCATTGGGGCTGTCTCCAGCTACATCTCCTACCAGCAGAAGAAGTTCTGCTTCAGCATCCAGCGTAAGTCCTTCCCCAAGCACCCCAGGGCACACAGCAAGCACCTGTTTTACCCCGAGCCCCACTGCCATTCTCCATCCAGTGCCCTCTAGCTGGCAGAACAAAGCCCCTGCCGCAGGTCATTGAGCCCCCCCATGTCAGGCTTTGCACAGACAGGAACCCACCAGCAGCGGCAGCCACAGGACCCACTGCCACCCCCAGGGCTCACACTGCTCCTCACACCCCACACAAACAGCCCAAGACTAAACCATCATTATCAAACACAGTAAATATGAAAAAAACCAAAACCATCCCACCCCAAAATAAACAAACCAAACTCTCCCAAATCTCAGCAAGCTGTAAAAACTCACCAGGCTGCAGGGAAGGAAGTAGGGGCAGTGTGTGCATCTGGGGCTTCAGCCCACTGCACCCTCAGCAGGTTCATGACAATTACTGCAGTAAATTGCAAATTAAACAGCAAAATTATTACCATAAAACACCTTTTGCATGAGCTGTCCCTTAAAGCTGCTTGGTGCAGGCATTGCAGGAGGATCCATCCTCACAGCCTCAGGCCACAGCACTCACCTGACCATGGTGGGCTCCTTGCAGCTCTTTATGAGAGAGAGGTTACAAAGAGCTGAGTTACAAGTTTTTTTTTTAATTAATCAGTTGAAATCTCCTGTGAGTCCCATTTGCTCTAGGGAAAGGGTGTTTGGGATTGGAAATTTCTGTTGGAATCATGCTATTTTCCCAGTTGTGCCTGAAACAAACAGCATTTTGGTAAATTAGATCAGCAGGAAAAGTCAAAGGAATGTGATGGAAAGAAACACCCCTGTTTATTACCCCCACTTAAATGATATTTTAGCAAGAATAAATAATAAAAAAAATGGAGTAAAGGCTTTGATGAGGAGGAAGCTGAGAGACACAAAGCCCCAGAAAGGCAGCAGGAAATTTAAAGTTAATTATAAAGGAAGATTAATTTAAGCCATCAGATACGGCATGCTGGGCTAATGTCAGGCCTCAGATGCATTGCAGTGCATGACAGAAATCTAAGAGCCGTCAGCTGCTGCTTTTTATTGGAAAACATAAATGGCATTTGGTGTTATTCCACCAAAACACGTCTGAGTGGAGGCAGTGGTGGTGTGCAGTGACCGCTCTCTTGGCACATGGAGGAATAGGTTTGGTTCTTTCTCTTGCCCAGCTGTCCTTCAACTTTGAGTCTCTTCTGAGGAGCATTTGCTGATGATTCCTCTAAAGGACATGCACAATGCTGCCTAGAACTCTTCATCCCACTTTCTTTTCTTACACTTCACCTCATACTCGCCAGCCATGCCCTGGGCTGTTGCTCAGCCTCTTGGTGTCCCTGAGTTCTTGCTGTGTCTCTCCTGCTTCCAGAGCTTGGCCAGCCGCTGGCTGCAGTGTCTCTGCTGGCATGGAGACTATATGAAGGTTTTTTAGCCAGTTGCAGAACCTTTTCCGTCTTGGAGGCAGCAGCTGCCCCATTGCTACCTGAGGCTCCCACCACACTCCTTCGGCTTGACCCCAGCACCATTCCCTGCCTCCCTCCTTCCCTATCTCCCCGGGAGATACCAATGAGCCTTATCCAAACATGGTGGTGAGGCACAGGCAGTACCTGCCACACCCTGAGTCATATTTAGATGTGCAAACAAGTTACAGATGCCTGAAAAGTGTGTGCTGCATGGCCTGTTTGCCTCAGGCTTCATTTGCAGACCAGCACCCAAATCCCCTTCCCTGGTGTCTCTCTAATGAATGCAACAATTAGCACAGCACTCCCACCTCTGCCTTTCCCCACAGTAGTCCCTCAGAGGAGCTTCTGAGGATGCCTGAGGTCCATGGCACACCCCAGACTGTCTAAATTCACCTTCAGCTCTGAGTTGGACCACTCCCTTTCTCCTGCCCACTCTCCTGCAGCCACCCCTGCCCACCAGTGCCTAGCCTTGCTCCTTGGCCTCGGCTCCACTTGGTAATATTGGGAACTTCTTTGCATTTAAATAAGGGACTTAGGATTTGACACCCCACTGTGATCCTGCTTCATCACCACAGCCCTGTTCTGAACTACTTCTTGGAGCTCTGCATAACATAGCTTTAAAGCATAAATAGCTTTAAAGGCTGTGGCACATATCTGTGCTGAGGTGCAGCCCTCGCTGCACGGCAGTCCTGTCCGGGAAGCTTTCCTCCCTCCTCCTGCATTCCTCAGAGCTGAGCACCTTTTACAGGAGTTAGTTGGGCTGCCCTGCCTGATAAAGATGAGCAGGAGCCTCAGACAAAAGAGCTGGAGCTGTGCCTGCCAGGAGCTCCATGGGCACTTTGAAGCCCAGAAGGTCTCAGCACTGGCTGTGGGTTATCGAGGCTTCTGTGCTGCTGTCACTGCAGAGGTTTCAAAAAGGCATCTCGGCTGTTACAGCTCCGAGGCCCATTTCCAGAGCTTTTAAGGCATCAAAGCAAATAATTTTACTTTCTACCCTTCCCATCTCACTCTGTTTATTGTACTTCTCAGAGGGACTGAACACGGAGTATGTGAAAGGAGAGAACATGGAAGCTGTCGTAAGCGAGGAACCCCAGGGTGAGAGCCTTGTATCCCTTACCCCTACTTGCATCCCTCTACAAAAACAGTCCCTGGTGCTGCTGTGTCCCTTTGATGATGGTACCGCTTAGATGATGCTATGGCTTTTGTGAAACACCTACCACAGTGCTTTTACCCCTTTACTGCACACAAAGGAATGCCTGGTAAGAGCCCAAGGAGCTCATGCTGCAAATGATGGCAGTTAACATTCAGCTTTCATGTAACCATGAAAGTTACACTGAGAATCTTGCACAACGGAAGCATGATCTTTCTTTCAGTGACAGACAATCAAGGCTGCTGCAAAGGCTTTTCCAGTGTCACATACAATCAGCCAGTGCTGGGCACCCATTACTTGCACCCTGGTTCCATTGCATGCTATTGTACTCATGGGTTTTTTTCTTTCTCCCCAGTTAAATATTCAGTCCTGGAAACGCAGTCAGCAGAACCACCAAAACAAGACAGTGCGAAGATATAAAGCATGACCCAGGGCTAATCAGTCAGCAGCAACAGAGATCTTACACGCTTGTAATTTAGCTTTTAATTTAATTTGACTCAAAAGCTATTTAATGTGTATTTAGGCTTGAACTGGCTTTTACTGCTCTAGGCTTTGAGGTTAGACCGGTAGCATGTGTTTATTTTTTTGAAGAGGTTTATGTTTACATTGAAGTACTAGTGTAGGATTGGTGCGCAGCTGTATGGAAATCCACAAAAGGTACTTCAGCTGTGGTAATTTTTCAAGAGCTTACAGGTATGAGGACAGTGAAGTGCCTGTAAATAGCAATCCAAAGCCAAACCCTGCAAAGCCCTCTGCAAAGCGCCTCCAGCCACCTTGTGCCATCGGCTCCAGGCAGCGTCACTTCCAGTGGTGGGGACAAAGCTGCACATTTCCTGACGGTGGATTGCAGTCCTTCGCATAGCTACACCTAAAAATGAAGTGCCTATGGTGGGTCCTTGTGTGGGGCCTTGGGCTGAGCCAAATGACTCCCTGCACCCAGGCCAGGAGTTCAGGATGCTTCACCACACCACCCAGCACTGGGCTTCTAACCAAAGGACCTGATTTTCACATCAAGTCACAGATCCAATTGATAGTAGTGTGTGCAGTGTTCACTTTTAGCAAATGCTATTTGAATGCTCCAGTGTTCTGCGGATCAGAGTGGAAGTGAAGTGATACGATTTTTCTTCAGCTGCACCAGAGTTTAGGTTAGATATCAGGAAAAAATTCTTCACTGAAAGTGATTGGGCATTGGAATTGTCTGCCCAGGGAGGTGGTGGAATCACTGTTCCTGGACACGTTTAAGAAAGACTGGATGTGCCACTCAGTGCCATGGTTTATTTGATGAGGAGGTGTTAAGTTAGGTCATAGTTGGGACTTGATCTCAGAGGTCTTTTCCAGCCTAGTTCATTCTGTGATTCTGTCTCCATGATATATCTGTGTTGTCACCACAATTAAAGCTGTGTGCATATGGATGCTTTCAAGGAGAGCTTCAGATCTCAGTCACACTAGAACAAGTGAGAGATTTAACCCAAAAGAAAATAAAAGCAGGTATCTGTTAAGACCTGTAATGCTCAGTACCACAACAGAACTCAAGCTTAACAAGATTCAGTCCCCTCATTCTTTTATCAGCAACTATCGGGAGTGCTCCCAGGCATCCACAGGCAGAAAAAGATTTAAGCTTCACTCTTTGTGTCACCAGCTAGCCTTTAAAAAAGGAAGTACCTCCTGAGAGGATGAATCCTCCATCACTGCCCTGCATGGGGTTCTTGCAGTTGGCTGGGAAGCACTGGGCTGTGAGAGGTGCGTAGCATGACACTGGGCTGAACCAGGACGGTGCACATGCAGCTCCTACCATGCTGCCCAACCGCTGCCTAGACCCGACCTTCACTATCTTGCAATAACTTCTGTTTAGATTTCTAATCCCTCCCCAGCAACCTTTTTGACTGCTGCTAAAATGTGGCTAACTGCCACTTTCCAATAAATTTTTGCCAATCAATGATTGCTTAAAAACATGATCTCAAGTGAAGGAAATTTCACTTTACATGGTGTAAGAGGTTCTCACTATTTATATATATATGAACCTGAAATGTGAGCATTTTGTATGGGCTTGCAAATTCCGTATTTTATGAACGTGTATTAAGAAAACAAAGCCTTTCAGTACGATGTACAATTCACAGCTTTCAGGTAGACTGACTTCCAGAAGGCCTTGCCAGGAGGTGAATGAGCCCAGGAGCATTGCTGTCTAACTGCTAGCTTTTTGCTGTCTAATTGCTAGCTCTGTTTGGAAGAAAACTGCCTAGTAACTTTGGTTAAGTATTTTGCAATAGCCGCACAATTCTTTATGCTCTTTTTAACATTTGCATTTTTAAAGCCTTATACTAGCTCTGGCAGAACAGCTACTGTGGTTTATAAGGTGCCTCACAACTATTCAGAACATTCAGGCTACAATGATACTACTCTGAACTACTGCTGCTTTGCTTTATGAACGTGTTTGGAATGGTAATGTTAATTGTTGGCTCAGATAATGGAAGCATAGGAAAGAGACGGAATGCACTGTTTGCTTACTCCCAGAGAAGGATTTTCATGGAGAAATTGGGGTCTGCAGAATTTGCAACAGGAGCTCAGGTTCCAGCTAAACCACACAGCTGAGTTTGTGTATCCCCATCCCAAGCACCAGCATTTGTTTTTTGCTCTTACCCAAACACATTTGAAAGCTGTAGCATAAAATATTTTTTCTGTAAGTTATTGTAGATGAAGTTACAACAGGGCATTGATGATCACTAGAAGCTCTTTTACCAGCTTAGATCTAGTGTCCATAATTCGACCTCTCATTGTGCCAGTGACCATGTTCCTGCAGATGCAGATCACAAGTTTTACCCTCTTCTGCCTGTTTGACCAGAGTGTCAATAGTCAGTGTTGTTTAAAGAGTACAGCACCTACCCCTCCTTTGGGGAACTCTTACACCAGGGCATAGAGGGAGCACAAGTCTAATTCAAAATACTGCAGGTCACAAATTTAACAAAGAAAGGCGCAAGCTGTTTCACTGGAAAACCCACCCCAGTGTTTGGGACTCAGAAGCTGCTGCTTTGCTCAAGGCTCTTCTATAACATTGATGACTACTTACACCTTAGTGTAATGTGTAGGTACGCGGAAATCCAAAAATGCACAGTGAAAGAGAACACTTCCAAAGTGAATAGTGACAGAATTCAAGATTTCTTTCTTGAGTATTTCAAATTGGAAAATACTTGCAAATCCTGCAGTAGAGAAACTGGGTTTGGCCTTCTCTTCAAAAATGAACAAAAGTCAGAGTCTTAATGATAAATGTCATTAAAGGCTCAAATTATTTTTTTTATTACTGCTTGTCCCCTCTTCCATCTGAACTGTCACCAGTCTCTGAGAAACAGGGAGTTTATACATCACCTATATTTTAGTCATTATAGCAACTGAGAGGGTTCCTGTGTATTTTTCTAGTAGTGATGCAAGTTCTGGAACAGCTGACCCAGCAGTGACTTCTACTTTAATTTACTTACTATTTATTCACTTTAAATCGGGATATAGATTTTTAAAAAATCCTGCATTTAAGCTTTGTATACATGGCATGAACTTTTTTGTCCTTTATAAAAAAAGGTAATAAACCATTAGAAAATTGCTTTGCTTTTTTTTTTCATTAACCCAAAACCTATATATACAGGCATCCTTAGAGTTTGTGTACTACGTATGCTGTGAACCCTTTTTCTTACAACACCTCACTTAAGCCATTTTAAATGGCAATAAAATGATTCAGAAAAGGTTTTGACAAAGTTTTGACAGAGAAAAAAGGGAACTGAAAGAATTCAGCTGGCTCTTTTCGTGTTTATTCTTTCAATTACTTGCATTTTCCTTTGACAGTACTTCATTTCTGATTCCTCAGCTGAGAATACTCTGACATGAATTTCAGATCTTTTTGGCACTGTAAACTCTCTCATTTTCATGAAACCCCACCAACGAATCCTTACAAGTGCTCCACTCATTCTTAACTACTCATTTGTTGTGATAAAAGTGGAATTAGTCCATAATACTGTTTCAGATTCTGAAAAAGAAAGATGAGTCAGCAGGCTGAGGCTTTAAAAATTGCTTCTCTAACAGATGAGGTTCAGGAAAAAACGAAGTTCAGAAACAATGGGGTTGTGAAATTAGAGAGCCCTTTCTTTTGAGTGAAGTTTTAACTTAGAAGCAAGACAGATTCCTTGCAGCTGAAGAAGTGACCTGTACAAAATAAAGGTTGAATGCTACGATGTTATAAAATACATTTTGTCAATGTGCATGTAAGGGTCACGGGGTAAAAAACATGATTGAACTGCATTTGGAAAACACTAAATAAACCAAGTTGACTAGAAAAACATTTTTGACTTGATTTTTTTGTGTGGGTTTTTTTTTTATGTTTGAAGTAAGCTGCAAGCGTTTTGCTATATCCTTATGGTACATCACCTCTTCTCTAACTACACTGAAGACTTCATTTAAAAAAAAAAACAATCCAAACTGGACTTTGTGAGAAAATAAGTACCATTATGAAAACTTTAATGGCAGAAATGGAGTATTTGCATGCACGCACACACACATGTGCACACACACTCTCCTCATGTCACCCAGCAGCTAAACTCGAGGCAGTGCCATAGGTTTCCTATAGTTTTCTTTACATTTTCAAACCCAGTAGATAAATCTCCCATGCAGTGCAAACTAAGTTCTGTATAATGATGCGATGCTCAGTCCCACAGAACTACTTCTGACTTAGGTTTCTTAACTCTTTCCTCCCAACTGCACAAGTTAAAAGCTATCAATGCTCTCTTAGTTCAGCAGATAGGGTCTCAGCAAATAGACGTTCCTTTTTGCTTTTTACCATAAATGTGTCCTCTGTTGTGAGGCTTAGTGGACATGAATGAGAGCTCTTGATTCATCGTTTTCAGCTTTTAGAGAACCAGCTGTTCTTGGTATTACTACATACAGGACATGAACTAGTACAGTTTCTCTTGGAAAATGAAAGCAATGAAACACTTCTTGTTTAAAGCTCTAATGACTTGAGAAGGCTGCCTCTGCAGGGAACAGAACCAAGCAGTTAGGAGTGTTTAGCAGCTTTAAAAGCCTTCTTCCATTTTAATGAAACAACAACAAAAAAAACTTATTTACAAAGGGAAAAGTATAAATTCAGCTCTGAAACAGGACTAAAATGGCCAAGTCGCTGATGCTGATGAATAACTTCACTTACTTTACAAGCAAAAAATGTGTCAGCTGGTTGCCAAGGCTTCATCCCCTTTTGGGACACTGGATTCAGGTTGTACCCCCCTCTCATACCTCGTTGACAACAGGAAAATCCTACAAGCCAAATGTAACTACTTACTCTCTTTGCACATTCCCATTATGCTGAGCAGTCAAAACCCAAATCCAAAGCAGAAGATCTAGCTTTTGAACCAGAAGTTAATAGCTCTGTCCAAGGTCCATCAGACAGGGAACAGAATGCTGCTCTTCCCTTAGCTAGTTCAATATTGCCGTATTGAAAAAAAAAAAGAATTAGTTGTTCAATCCATAGGAAA